GCAGTGAAATAAAGTGCTGGGTGCAAGGATGATAATAATCACGCAGGAGAATCCACCACCTCTAATGGATGTACATTCAGCAGAATGAAACTGGTAACAGGCATTTCAAACATAACACATCTTGAGGTAGGGGCAACAAAGAGGTTAGCGGCAGCATGACGTCAGCAAGAGGCTCTGATGCGTTTCGTGCGCATACACGTCTTCAGGGGTACGCCCTGGGAGACAAAACGCGTCGGGTGGAGCCTGTTGTTGACGTCACTCCGCTGCTGCCGAAGGACGGAGCTGCGGCCATTTTGGTATTTCTCCTTTACATTTTACTATTGTCTCCACGTGGATGCTTTTATATTTAAATACATGCAATAATTACTACACTATATACAACTTTCTGGCTCCTGTGGTGAGCTGTTTTCTTCAGGACAAAGGCTTCCTTTTCATCCAGTGCCCTAGATGACATTCCATCTGAACCTCTTGGCTGCCCCCTTCCTCAAGATGTGTTATGTTTGAAATGCCTGTTACCAGTTTCATTCTGGTGAATGTACATCCATTAGAGGTGGCGGATTCTCCTGCGTGCGTGATTATTATCACACTTGCACCCAGCACTTTATTTCGCTGCACCTTATTGTTTCACAGACATTTACATGGATCACATCCAATCACGGATGTTATTTGTTTTATCAACCGTATAATTCTGTAATATTTTTATCTATATTACATTTGATATTACACATTACTACGGACATCATCACATTACCTATATATTTATGAGGCACTTTATATTTATTGAAGTTGATTCACTTAACGGTTTTTGCAATCTTATATGATGCACTTTGCTGTTCAGTCTTATCCATTCAGTTTTTGATGCATTTACTGTTCCATTTTAACATTTGATTTACTGAAGATTTGCTGCACTCTCATTTGATGCACTTTATTGTTCCATTTTGGTACATATAATTTATGATGCACTATATATTTCAATTTATTTTTATTGTTTTCTCCTTCGTGATATATTTTTTATGTGATGCACTTTATTATTCCACTTTATTTATTAGTAATTTCAGCGCTGCACTTGCTTACTTATTCATTTGTGGGGATTGTTACTTGCCTTTTGTGCTAGCTGCTTTCCAAACATTGCCAACGCTCACCTTTTTCTACTATTTACATACACTTTTAAAACACATTAACCTGCTAAATATTTCTATGCATAGCAAGTAACAATTTAAAGTAGAACTTAGCATGCCAGCGTTAGCGTGAGCAGCACAATACCCCCCAGCAAATGTTTTCCTGAATTTTTTTATTTGTAAAAATTAGGGTTTTGGTCTCCTTCTTTGATAGCAGTGTGCACTTAATGCAGTTTTATACACCCTAGTAACCCATATGTTCAGCAGCAAAAGCTGGGCATTAATGTCCTCACACTGCACATACATTATTTTGCCAAAAGTATTGGGCCAGCCCTCCAAATCATTGGATTCAGGTGTTACAATCACCTCCATGGCCACAGGTGTATAAAATCAAGCACCTAGACATGCAGGCTGCTTCTGCAAACATTTGTGAAAGAATGGGTTGCTCTCAGGAGCTCAGTGAATTCATTTCGTGATACCGTGATAGGTGCCACCTGTGCAAAAAGTCCATCCGTGAAATTTCTTTGCCACTAAATATTCCACGGTCAACTTTTAGTGGTATTATAACAAGGTGGAAGAACCTGGGAACAACAGCAACTCAGCCACCAAGTGGTAGACCACGTAAAATGACAGAGTGGAGTCAGCGCATGCTGAAGAGCACAGTGCGCAAAAGTCGGCAACTGTCTGCAGACTCAATAACCAAACTTCATGTGGCCTTCAGATTAGTGCAACCGTGTGTAGAGAGATTCATGGAATGGGTTTCCATGGCTGAGCAGCTGCATCAAAGCCTTACATCACCAAGTCCAATGCAAAACATTGGACGCAGTCGTGTAAATCGCCACTGGACTCTAGAGCAGTGGAGACGTATTTCCCGGAGTGACAAATCATGCTTCTCTGTCTGGCAATCTGATGGATGTGTCTGGGTTTGGCGGTTGTCAGGAGAACAATACTTGCCTGACTGCATTGTGACAAATGTAAAGTTTGGTGGAGGGGGTATTATAGTGTGGGGTTGTTTTTCAGGGGTTGGGCTTGGTCCCTTAGTTCCAGTAAAGGGAACTCTTAAGGCATCAGCATACCAAGACATTTTGAACAATTTCATGCTCCCAAATTTCTGGGAACAGTTTGGGGATGGCCCCTTCCTGTTCCAACATGACTGCGCACCAGTGCACAAAGCAAGGTCCATAAAGACATGGATGAGTGAGGTTGGAGTGGAGGAACTTGACTGGCCTGCACAGAGTCCTGACCTCAACCCGATAGAACACCTTTGGGATGAATTAGAGTGGAGACTGTGAGCCAGGCCTTCTCATCCGACATCACTGCCTGACCTTACAAATGCTGTTCTGGAAGAATGGTCAAACATTCCCATAGACACACTCCTAAATCTTGTGGACAGCCTTCCCAGAGCAGTTGAAGCTGTTATACCTGCAAAGGGTGAGCCAATAAAATATTGAAGACTGGGATACCATTAAAGTTCATGTGTGTTTACTGTCAGAGATCCCAATACTTTTGGCAATATAGTATATGTGTCGCAGGGCAGGCAATGTTTATGTGTTGGGTGTGCCTTGCTGCATGTTCCCAGCACCAAGACCGAGGTGCCAAAAACAGTTTTGGGTCCTGGAAAATATTGGTAGCAGGTGGGACTGGCTTCTAATCATGTGACCACAGTGGTCACATTGCCAATTCTTCCTGCCCCTCTGCCCGTTAAGAACTTTTAAAAAGGGACAACAGGGCAGGCAGGAAGGAGTTAAGAATGCTAACAGTACTTAGAACAAAAAACTGTAGTGAAAATCATACTTTTGTTTTAGGCAACCACAGCTCACCTGGTGTAAGACCCAGGAGCATAATTTTATAGCGAACCCGCCTTGTTAATAAATTTGGCGCATATTCTCTGTAGCCTGTGTACTTGCATTTGTGCACACTGAGGATGTGTTCGGTTATACATAATAAAATTAGATACTATAGTAATAGACGACTTCATCTTTTTTTCATGTATTTTTCATTTTTCCACTACTGGGATCATATGTTGCTGAATGAGGGACATTTTAGTTATTATTATTGCTTCATAAATTGTAACTAGTTATGGGTTTGACTCAGTCTTTTATCCAGTTACAAAATATTACAAATTTTCCTTGGATAACCCAATCCATTTGTACTACTTTATAATAACAATTAATAACTGTGGGTGCAGGAAGGAAGCATTATGTCACCATTTTTTGATACATATTTCACTAAATTTAAAAGTCAAATGTTTCATTAAAATGTAGGTGACCCAAAAAGAATAAATCAAGAACTCAATGATATGCAAATGAAGAAAATTATTAAATTTTAAGACTCCACAATGCATTCTTAATTTTAGGTTGGCTGAAACTGTCACTGACAAAGCATTACGTCAAGTTGTAAGTACGACAGTGAAATATTCATTGCAACTCTAAATATCTTGAGTCATATCCTAAGTATCAGAGACACAACGTTGCCTTTACTGCACAAACTACTTCTCAATACACAGAACACATGTTACTCAAGGTACTTACCAGGCAGCTGAAGAATCTAGTGTATAAGGTGCATATTCCAAATATCTGAATATTATACACTTTCTGATAAGTACCTATTTTTACTCTTGCCGTTTAACACTGCCCACAATCTGCTGACTTTTGAATCAAAGTCTATAAAGTCCAGGAAGAAGGTGGTGCACACAGAATGCAATAAAATGAACAACCTTGAAAATGAAAGCAAACTAATCCAAGGGGCTGTAAAAGGTTATTGCACTTAAAAAGGAAGTAAAGAATGTTTTTTTTTTTTTGACAGGCTGCCCTTTATGATGGAGGAGACTGTGTGTTTTTTTTTCTGCCATAGCCTCCACCTGCCTGTCAGCATTTTTTTCTATAAGTGTATACCGGCTTGCGCACGCACTGCTCAATGTAAGGTCTCCAGCACTGCAATAGTGATGCTCTCCTCTCCTAGGCGAACTCGGATTTAAGGGGCTTTCTGCTCACCACAGCCCCCACTTACATTAGAGTTCCCAGCATTCCCCCTTAAATCAGTGTTCCCAAAGCCACCCTTACATCAGAGTCCGTACAGCACCCCTTACATCTGAGTACCCCTTACCTTAGTGTAGTTACTCGCTCCAAGGCAGGAGAGAGAAGGGAGGGAGGAAGACTTCAGTCACAGACAGTGGATGGTGAGCTCACTCGCCCGATGATGGAGGCTCAGGCATCTTCCCTTTTGTCCACCATATATCTGCTTGCTGCTGTGCTTCAAATTTCCCACCTACACATCCCTGCAGACAGAGGGCTAGGGGCAGGAGAAGAAGGAGTAGATTGAGCCCTTATGGTAGGACCCAGATGTTGTAGAGTTCCCCTTTAAACTCTAACACTTCTAGCAGCCTATGTTTGTAGAAGCAAGGTTTTTGGCTCATCTTCCCCCCTCCCTTATTTCCTGTGTAGGGGTCTGCAGCTGGTATTTTCTTATCTCTAGTTGCTGGCCAAGGTTATTTTGTAGAGTTTAGGAAGCCTTTTGAGTGTATAGAAAGTAGGAAAGGAATGTATGCCTTGTGACGTAATCATTGGTATATACCAGGGCTTAACATTTCAAGTCCTGAGCTACTAGCCAGGCTTTAGAGTTACTCGCCACCAACAAACACACACAAACAGAGACACATGTACACACACACACACACACACACACACACACACACACACACACACACACACACAGACATGTACATACACACACACGTACACACACACACATACAGACACATGTATACACACACAGGCACGTACAGACATGTTTACACACAGATACATGAACATACACAGAAATACACACACACACAGACACAGGTACACACACAGACACATGTACATACATACACAGACACATGTACACACATACACATGTACGTACATACATACACACACACACACGTACATTCACACAGACACATGTAAACACACAAAGACACATGTACATACACACAGACAGACACATGTACAGATACGCACATGTACATACACACAGACACATGTACATACACACAGACACATATACAATTGTACATGCATACACAGACACACACACATACACACACCACCACCCCCCATAAAAAGTTGCAGTACTTCGTTGTTCACTCACAGATCTGGGAACTGCACTCTAGGGGGAGGCAGAGAGCACAGCACACACTCCTTGCTTTGCTTTCACTGCGCTCAGCTATTGAGCAGTCTGACGGCTCCCAGTGCCAATGACAGATCCGGCCTAAGCTCCGAGCCTGCTCAGCAAGACGTCCCTGGGGGATACACTCGCCCCCACCATAATTTCCACTCGCCATTGGTGAGCAGGCGAGTGGAAATTTCAAGCCCTGGTATATACACTTGTAAGAAGTTTTCTACAACTCACTTAGCAGATGAAAGTGGCTCGCTGTCTGCTGGGTCACTACAGTGCTGTTTTTAATAAATTAGTTGCTTCCTTTAGATGTCCGAAGTCCTGAGTTTTGCCTGAATTTCCAAATATTGCTACTACACCCTCTCATCTCTCCCATCTGTGCAGGGGGTCAACTACGCTGGCTCTGGGTAGTGTGAGAGAGAATGTCACAGACACTCAGCTTAGACAACTGCAACCAGCCCCCGTTTGCAACCTAGGCCCATCCCATGCACACACCTATGCACTTGGCGGTTGTGGTACTCAGTTATTAACCTCCCTGGCGGTTTTCCCGAGTGTAGCTCGGGGTAGAATTTCTATACCACAAGCGGTAACCCCGAGCTACACTCGGGCTTACCATGCGGCGCTGCTCTGGGGGTCCCTGCAGCACTTACCTTGTCCTTCGTTCCCACGATGTGTCCCCTGCAGCGTCCCCGGCCATCTCCTCCGGCCGATGCCGGCGTCCCCATGACGTCGGGACGTACGGGCGCCGGCGGCGGCGGGAAATTTAAAAAATTTAAAAAATGTCATTTTTTTTTTTTCAATTTTAAATAGTAAAACATTGCTGTTTCATCCCATTTCACATACATATTGTCCCTAGTGCTTTGTCCTGTGCCCTGCCTGCATTTTGTCTGTTCTTTCTGCCTGGAAACTTAGAAAAGTCCATGGCGTCCAAAAAGCGTCCCTTTACGTCAAAAGCGGTTTTAGACCGGCTAGAGAACAGCGATAGTAAATCAGAGCCACTTGCAGAATTGAGTGATAATGATTTGCGGGGAAATTTTCCTAAAAATTACAGCCTACAATAAAAAACTATTTCCATGCGAAAAAATGGTACCGCTTTCAGCACAAAAAATCGGAAGGAATCATACCGCTAGGGAGGTTAAGAGAGCCAATGAGCCAAAGTACACTTTGAATAATGTGTCCAGGTTTCAGATTGTTTGAAACCCGGACGCATGATTCAAAACCCAAACTGTCCAGGTAAATCCCAGACAGGTGGTGACCCTAACTCCTGTGCATGATCATGGGAGTTACTTTGTCTTGGCACAGAATCGTGCCGAGACAACACTGAGCTGTGCATGCATAGCCAGTCATGGCAACCTTGGGTGTGGGGGAGGGAGGACTGAAATCAGCAGTTTAAAGTGAATTTAAAGCCAGCATTGTTTTAATTAATCATTTTTTGATAGAGCATTGATGTTTAAGAACATTTGTCAGGTTTTTTTTTTCTGTCCCTGAAAAAGAGAATTGTGGCACCCTCTTGGTTTAGCTAGGGAGGCTAGATCCTAATGGTTCTGCAGGAGCTGAGTAGCAGCACAGGTGTAATAGCCAGAGGGGACTCAAATTGTGGTTAGGGCTGAGAGGTTCTGCAGGCCAGCCCCTAAAGAATTTCCCCCTGCTCTGAGGCTTTTGGAGGAATGCCTTAGAGGCAGTGGGTGGGAGTGGCTGGCTGCATTCTCGAAGGACTGCAGCCAATCCCCAACAGAAGATTTGGCAAGGGGCTTGGACTTCCATAAAAGTGTTGGAGCCTGCTCAGTAGCAGGAGTGTGGAGTGGGGGGAGTTGAGAGGAAGATGTGAGTCTGTGAGGAAGGAGGCTACCAGTAGGTCAAGTGGGATGGGGCCTGCCTGCGAGCCTGGAGCTGGAAAGGAGGAAAACTTGGCACTCACTGGCCCCCTGAGAGAGGACAACCTGTGTGGCAGGGAAGGATCAGCCCAACTGATAGGCCTGGTAGCAGCAGCCAACCTGCAAGCAGTGCAGGAGAGGAGAGTGAGTACACCTGCACCCCCTTGGCAGATAGGAGGGAGCAGCAATCTGGTGGGAAACCAGATTAGCCCTCTACTATTGACTGTTCACCCATTTAAAGGGGATCCTCTGCTTAGGAAAACCTCCCGATTGCTGGGTAAAGAGGAGAATTTAATCTAGGGTCTGAGATGGTACATCAAAGAGATGCTGGCTAGCTCTCCAACAGAAGAGACACTTTATTATTATTATACAGTATTTTTAAAGCGCCAATAGTTCGCTCAGCGCTGTACATTACAAAAGGGGACAGAACATGTGACAGAACAATACCAATACAATGCAAAACATGAGGGGATCGAGGGCCCTGCTCTTTCGAGCTTACAATCTAGGAAACACTTGTGAATAGTTCTAGGAAGTTTGTCCTCAGTTGTTGATTCCCTCGAGCATCCATTACCCCCTTTACCCTATCCCAGTTCTAAATCCCCTTAATAAAAAACAAAATAAAAGCTCAAGGACTGATTTCTGACTTTGAATGCAAGCTTGTGTGGAGAATGCAGATTGCCTGGTTGTGCAGGACTATAGGGGGACCCAAATCTCTTAGCAACCCTCAAGGGATTAATACTACAGAATTATTGGGTCTAGTTGTCTTTCACTAAAAGATAAGGAAAGTTCAAAAGTTGTCAGGAGAAGGAAGAATAAGGAAATCTTTCTTGTTCAAAATGTTTATTGGATTCTAGTCAAATTACAATAGCTGATAGACATATGGGTTACAAGTGTATAGAACAACTGCTCAGTTTTAAAGGTCAGATTGATAACAAAGATTAACATATGTAATAAACACCAGGTAAAGAAGTGTTCAATGTTGCTCGACATAGGTAGGCTTTCAGACATTGACGTAAACTCAAGATCAAAAAGGACCTGCTTAAGAGCTGAATGGTATAAGCATAAGTAGCAGGAGTATATGTGCGGTCAGCCATGAACAGGGGTAGACTGACCATTTGGAAACTCGGGCACTGCCCGAGGGCCCGGGGTTAGTAGGGGGCCCCATGAGATGCCCCTGGTACCTTTTTCATAGGCTTTTTTAAGTTTGGGCAAGGACACAGGGGCCCCATGATCCCCTATTGCCCGGGGGCCCCATGAGTTGTCAGTCTGCCTTTGGCCATGAATAAAAAATTCACAGGATTATTAAATAGCTAAGATGATAACCCATACCACCTACAGTTAAAGTGTTAGTTCACCTTTACCAGAAACCTGCCTATGCAGATAAGGGGTGTCTGTGGATAATAACAAACTGTGTGTCTCTGACTAAAGTTGAATAATAGCCTTTCTATAGGCGTAATGCATTTATGTGCCCCATGAAGCCTGACTGGAATACTCCCAGGACATTGCTAGGACATTGCTAAGTGAGGCCTAGTCATTACAGTTCACCTCCACCATCACATGAGTGAGCTCTTTCTCTGAATCAAAGCCCCTCACATGCTCTTTTTCTCCCCTGATACAGTAGCTTTAAGCTCAGTATCTGAGAGCTCACTCCTGTGATGGTGGAGGTTTACAAGGTAATGACTAGGCCTCACCTAGCAATGCCCTTGGAGTTTCCCAGTCAGGCTTCAGGGGTAGGGTTGCCACCACATCCCTTTAAAACTGAACACATATTAATTACACAGGTTCTGAGGCTAATTTAATGTAGATAAGGCACCAATGGAGTTTATCTAACACCTTAATCAGCTACAGAACCTGTGTAATTAATGTGTTTGGTTTTAAAGGGATGAGGTGGCAACCCTATTCAGGAGGTATGCAAATGGCCTACACCTATAGCAAGGGCATTATTCAATTTTAGTCAGAGCTATACAGTTTATTTTTATCTACAAACTCCCCTTATCTGCATTGGCAGCTTTTTGGTAAAGGTGAACTATCCCTTTCAACAGAGAAGAAACAGAAGAGGGGAGGAGAGAGAAAAGAAGGACTAGGAGGGGAAAGGGTTCAGGGATGAAGTCAGGGATCCCAAGGGTCTGCAGGGAATGGTGCATATAACCAGTGTTTTGCTGACGAGCGTTTTGAGTCGGCTTGGTAGCGAATAAGGAAAGCTTTCAGTGAGGACACTTCTTCATGTGATGACGAAGAGAGAATTTCTTTTACTTTAGAGGGACTTCCTCTTGTTTCTTGCCGTTTCTCCGGGTCAGGAATTGTAGGCTCTGGAAGACCTAACAGTTACATATGGCTGCAATCACCTCAAGCAATTGGGTACTTAACAATTCTTACATCTACAGTTAACAAATCATCAGAATTCTGCTAGGAAAGGTTAGCTTAGTGTAAAAGATGGAGCTATATGTGCCGGAAAAAATCCTCCTAATTTAAAAGTGATCATAGCTTCACTTTATTCCTTTTCTAAGTGCATAGTCTCTTCTTTTTTAGTAAATCAATGCCATTTCCTGTGTGTTATGGACGGTTACTTCCTGTCAGCTGATCCCACCCACCTTCTTGCCTGCCAGGGGGAAGAACCACCCCATGTTCTTTAGAAAGAACTCCCACCCAGGAGATGCAGTGGTTGTGATTCAAGCGTGTGTTCCTCTTTGGGGGCACATAAGGAGCCTTCAAGCCTGCAGCAGGGAAGAGAAATGGCCAAGGAGTACTCCTCTCATTACAGAACTGTGAGCACTCCTCCTAAGACCCCTGATGGACTGGTCTAGTTACATAAAACTATTTTCATCTTTTGAGATATATATTACAATATTTTTGGGACTCAGTTATGTAATACTTTTTGGACTTTTGGACTGTGACTTTTAAGGCCTAAGCCATTCTTTGTTTTGTATAACAATAACATTGCTAGGTAAAAAGGCATTAAAATAAACAATGTAGTTGACATGAAGACAATCAGCATTTTAGAAGCTTGTCTGGATAGAATCCTTTCAGCAGCCAGGTCTGGTGAGTGATGCTGCTGTTAAATATGCTGGACTGGTAGTAAGGTCTCTGGCAGATATAAGTGCACAGCAGGGCCAATACCCTAGGAGATTAGCACCTTTTATTATTATTATTATTATTATTATACCGGATTTATATAGTGCCAACAGTTTGCTCAGCACCTGGTTTGGATTGGGATTGAGTGGTGGTTTAGTGATAGTCCATCAGTGGCAATGATCAGGAAGTTTCCGCGGTCACACATGCCCGCTGTCCGAGCACCTCATTGCTATGGGCCTCAGGTGTTGGATGGGATTCTATGGGTTAAAC